TGATGGCTGTGTACAGAAAGAGATAGAATTTTATTTATCCCTCTTGACACTGTGATAGGTTTTCTTTCCTTTTTTTTTTTTACTTAAGGACTTATGTATTTAATTGTGAAACTTTTTCAGCCACAATCTCTTCCCATATTCTTCGTCCACGTTTTCTTTTTTCTCTTTCTGGAATCCTAGTAGACATTTCACAGAGCCAAACCGCCTCGCAACAGCTTTTCCAAAGTGCTTCTGTGTGAATCCCTGCTGCCTTGTATTCTGTGTGAATTCTTCAATGCTGGCTTCCAGGTCACAAGTTATTTCTTCAGCTAGGTTCAACTTAGAGTGTCTTCTACTTTCTGTTTTGAGCTTTCGTTTCCAGTACATTCAGTTTTATGATCTTGAGTTGTTCTTGTTTAATTTCTTTACTTTATGCAAGGTCTTGTTCTCTTGCAACAGAACCCTTTCCCAGTGGTCCGTGGTTTGCATCTCTCTGGGAGGGAACCCAGACCCCGATTGTTGAGTCTTTCTTACATACACTTTGAATTTTGAGTGTGCACGCAAGGTTCTCTCGAGTGGAAAAAAAATTTAATCTCTTCTCTTTATACTTCTTCCTCCTGGTTTTTTCAGCAGCCTTTCACTTTTCAGGGCTCCCAGTAGGAACCAGGCCCTACACTGCTGGCTCTGGGCTCTCACCTTTCAATCCACAGAAATCTCAACTAAACCTGTTTGAAGAGAAAGCCAGGTTCCAGCTTCACTCCACAGGCAAAGCACTTTGGGACTCTGGTAGCCATAAATGTCAAACCCTTGGTGCCTCTGTACCAAGAATGAACCTTCAAGAGCCAGACCTGAGAATGGCCAGAGCCCAGGAAGCCAGCCCCTGACTCCAGCCCTGGTTCCACCACCACATCCGTGCTACGGCCATCTTGCTTTTGAATGCACTTTCTTCTGCCTTCCCACCTTCTTTTATTTCTAACTGGACCCTTACTATGGGTTATCGCATGGCATTGACACCATTTTGGACAGAAACCAAATGCCTCCTTCTAACCAACCCTCTCCTCATTTCTTAACTCATTTTCTAACCCCCCCACTTTTGTAAAGCCTTTCCCAACCACTGTCCCATGAAACAATCTCTACCTCTTCCGCTCTGCTGCATTCTACTTTCGCTTGCATTTAGCTTTAACTGAACAAGTATTTATTGAAGACCTGGGAAGCCCTTTGGGGTGAAGTAGGGGTTAGCATGAGAAGATCTTCACTGGAAAGGATGAGGGCAGGAGTTAGGGGACCACTGCAAAGATCCAGGCTCGAGATGAAAGCAGCATAGATGAACTGGAGGATCCAGGGTGCAAGAAAGTAAGAACGGCAGAAGTGAGCTCGCATTGACATGTTATTTATGACCGAGATACAGCAAAGCCCTGGCAGTTTCAGACTTGCCAACAGGGAAATCTGTAATGTGTCCATAGAACTGACTTGGCCAGGGGAGACAGCAGGCAACTGTGCAGCTGTGATTCCACCTCTAGTGCATGGCTTAGGGGCCGGAGCAGAGAGCTTGATGAACCTCCTACGACTGCCCTGTCCAGTTATGAATTCTGAATATTTTTAACATGTGTGAATTGAAATCCTTTCACACCCATAATTCAAAAACAGACGTTTGCCAGGCATGGTGGCACACACCTGTAATCCCAGCACTCAGGAGGCTGAGGCACAAGGATCCCTGTGAGTTCAAGGCCAGCTTGGGCTCTGTAGTGAGTTCAAGACCAGCCTGAACTACACACAGAGATCCTGGCTCAAAAACAAACAAACAAACCAAAAACAGACATTTTGAGAATAACATATTTCTCTACATATTTTGAAACACACAGGACTCATGTGACAGAGTGCAGTCATCCCCAGTTCTTCTTCATCCCTTGTGAGTGCCACAGGCTGGGGTGTGGAAGCTTACCTGCCCGTGACAGGCAGGCCCAACCCAGTGCTCTGCACACCTGGGCTACAGAAAGCTGGCATCTCCCAGCCTGTGCAGTTGCATCTGCTCTTTTGCCTGCTGCAGAGCGGATGCTGTTGTGGTTACATCGAGAATCCACCACCAATTGTGGAAAACATCTTTGGGGTCGCAAAGCTTCCTGGGTGGGTTTGACATGCTGCCTTGACACGCCTCCCCCACAGTGCTCTGTGCAAAGGGGCTGCTACCCTTGGCTTAGCTATGCGTGAGGCTGGAAAGCCCCCAAGCCAGCTATAGCTCACTTCCGGGAGATGGAGTGGAACACATGTTTTCAAGCAGTATTCCATTCTGTAGGATTGTCATACTGAGGGTCCTGGTTCCCTAGATCTAGATCCCTGGAGGTTGACCTAGTGCCACCCTAACGGGGCAAGGTGTACTTTCATGGGCATCCATCCTCTTTACCACCCTTCAGATTGTATCTTTTGGCCAGCAGGGTCCCAGGATACTCCTCCCGCAGTGGGGACAGCTACCAAGCAGAATGAGAAGCTGCCATCTAAAGCAAGGCTCACCATTTTGGTGACCTGTCTGAACCTAGCTGCTTCCTTGTTCTCCTCATTCATCTGAGGTGAGGAACAGCACAGTGTGTACACACCCAGGGACACACACACACGCCATCACTGCAGAGGTTTCCTTCCCCACCTCCTTCATCTTCCACTTGAAAATGTCCCGTGTACTGGTGTAATCCTCAGTGATGCAGGTACCTACATCACAGTACAGCTGATACAGCAGCTGCATAAACTGAGAAACTGCTGAAATGTCCATTAATAGATTAAAATGATAGAATGCATATATAAAAGGTACCCATTTAAAAGAATAAGGTGAGTGCCAGGGATGTAGCTCAGTGGCACAAGTGCCTGCTTGGCAAGCACAAGGTCCTGAGTTCAATTCCCAATACAAGAAAAAAAAAGAATGGGATGGGTCAGGCAATGGTAGCACATGCCTGTAATTTCAGCACTTGGGAGACTGAGGCAGGAGGATCACTTTGAGTGTCAAGCCAGCCTGGGCTACAGAATGAGCTCAAGGCCACCCTGAACTACACAGTGAGACCCTATCTGTAAAGCCAGTTGATAAATAAATAAAGCAGATCTATGTCTGCTGACATGGAAAGTTTTCCTTCTGCTAAATAATAAAAGTAAGTTGCAGTATAGATGCATATGTATATGTATATATATTAATAACCCCACAAGTCTAAAACAATGCATACACATCTGTCTGTGCACAGATAATATCTGAGGAACACACTCAACTGTAACAGTGGTTTTCTCTAGAGTAATGATAGTGAAGAACATTGAGACAGAGGACGTTGTACTCATTTTTTGCATTGTCTGATTTTTGCAAGAATATATTATAGGCCTGTTGGTGCGCACCTATACTCCCAGTACTCTGGGTGGCTGAGGCAGGAGGATCACAAGTTTGAGCCCAGTTGGGGTACTTAGCAATTACTGAGATCCTGTCTCAAAATAAAAATAAGAAAGGGCTGGGGATGTAGCTCAGTGTGACGGCTACAGGATCAATCCCCAGTACCCCACACGCCCCAGAAAACAATATTGATTTTTTTTTTTTGGTACCAGGAATCAAACTCAGGACCATGTGCTTGCCAGGCAGGGGCTGTGACAGTGAACTATATCCCTGGCCCAAAAAGAATATTCTTGTAATTTAAGACACTTAAAATTGTTTTTTCTAAATATAAAATGTTCCCAGCTGGGTGTGGTAGCACGCCTGTTATCCTAGCACTCAGGATGCTGAGGCAGGAGGATTGCAGCGAGTTCGAGGCCAGCCTGGGCTACAAAGTGAGCTCAAGGCCAGCCGGAACTGCATAGCGAGACCCTGTCTCAAAAAGACCAAAAAAAAAAAACACAATTAAATATATATATGATGGTCCATGTCAGAGTAAGTACTTTGGGTGCTGGGGTGACACTGGTGGTGAAATCAAAATAATTGAAAAAAATACACCCCCCCACAAGGGCTGGGGATACAGCTCAGCGGTGGAATGCTTGCCTAGCATACACAGTGCCCTAAGTGCAATCCCTAGCACCACAATAAATAAATGATAGAAATAAATAAAAATTAAAAAATAAGCAAATAAAAAACCCATCCGCCTTGTACTTGCTTTCATTTAGACCTCATTGGGGGGCCGTTCAGTGAACACTGCTCAGCCCACAAAGTGCTGTGACACCAGGGGGTGAACGTCATGGGGTCTGCAGCACCCCCGGGGGCTCCAGGGTGGAGGCAGGCCAGGAAGCTGGGTGCTCAGTGAGCCACACCGCTGAGAATCAACAGCAGCAATGGGAGGCCGGCCCAGCATGGGGTCAAGTAGGCAGCCGGAGAAACACTAAAGAAAGGGGAGGAGAGTGTGCCACTCGGGACAGCCAGAGGCAGGAAGGGAGCGACCGCCTGGGCCAGGGACAGACGCGGGAAAACTGCTTTCAGCCAACCCCACACACACCAAAAGCACATTTCTTTCCCAGCACCCAGCCTAGGGGAGGAGAGAAACAAGGTGCAAGTCAGACAGGGAGGAGGCTGGGGTGGCCGGGGGTAACAGAATAGCAGGCTAGGCAGGCAGCAAGGAAGACATACACTGAGCTTGGGCACTTGAAGCCTGTGAGGCTGGGAGGCGCCCGCGCTCACCCAGGGGCTGGTGAACCAAGCCGGGCGTGGAGTTTCCCACTGCCCGGGAGCTACCGGGTGACCGTCACCCCTCACTGGAGTGCCGGTGGCGGGAGGACTGTCCCACAGGCTGCTGCCCTGCCCTAGGAGGAGATGTGGCTGTGTGGTGGACTGAAGAGTGTGGTCAGCAGAAGAAGTGGGTGTCACCACGGTGTCCCCTCTGGTACAGAGCAGGCCTGGACTGCCCTTCTCCAGTCCCCAGAGGTGGCCAGGTCACCCGCTCTTCCCTGTGCCCAGCCTCAGTGCCAGACTGGCGAGAAGCCCCAAAGGGACCTGGAGTGAGGGTGTGCCAATGGGCCGAGCCTCTCCCTTCCTGCCTCTCGCCCTGGTCTCTTGAAAGCGTTCGTGCCTCTTCATCCCGCCTCTGTCACTTCCACCAGCGCTGTCTCCATGGCCATTTGCAAGCGCTTTTCCTCGTGCCCAAGCGCACCGCCTTCAGGGCCCCACACTTGCTCGGCCAGGCCCCTTTCACAGCTCCCAGCCCCCTCCCCGGGCTGGAAGGTGACAACCGCGAGAAGAGGGTGACTCTCCGCGGCGGGGGCTTCGGGTGACATCACATCCTCTAAGTTCGACCTCGGGCCCGCAGCCGGCCCAAGGGTGCAACTTTCCCACTCCGCGTGCCCTGGTTCCCGGGCGCGGACCCTCGCGCTTGCTTCAGGCTTGGCCCTCGCGGAGCAGCGCACGCCATGGCCCCGCGGGCGAGCGCCTGGCTGCTGCTGCAGGTGGCCCTGCTGCTCGGTGAGGTGGCGACCCGGGGGCAGGGCGGTGGGGGAGGTCGCAGCTCGGGCTCAGCCTCGCTGTTTCCCCGTACCCCGCAGACGCCTCCGAGGCCCAAGGGAAGAACAACTTCCGAATGTCGCCCCCGTCGCTGGTGGCGCGGGTCGGCAACAAGGTGACCCTTCGCTGCGAGGTGCTGTTGCCCAACGCACCGCAGAGCTGCTCCTGGCTCTTCCAGCCCCGCGACGTCGCCAGGAGTCCTACCTTCCTCCTGTACCAGTCGGGGCCCCGCACCAAGCTGGCCCCAGGCTTGGACCAGAAGCAGAGTCGATTCAGCGGCTCGAAGAGCGGTAACACCTACACCCTCACTCTGAACGGCTTCCAACAGCAGGATGAAGGCTACTATTTCTGCTCGGTCTCCACCAACATGATGCTGTACTTCAGCCCCTTCCTTCCCGTCCGTCTGCCAGGTCTGAGTACGGGGAGCGGCGCCTCTTGGAGTGAGGCTTGGGGTTCACCCGCAAACGCGGTTTTTGAGTTTGCTATGTAGTTCAGGCTGGCTTTGAACTCACTATGTAGCTCAGGCTAGGCTGGAACTCGAGGTGATCCTCCTGCTTCAGCCTCTTGAGTGCTGGGATTAGAGGCAGGCATGCGCCCCCCCAACCCCCGCACCCCCGCTCGCCCAAAGGGTTATTCACAACTCTATCGCCTGGGGGCTATTTAGATACTATTTCCACTTCACAGGCGGGAAACCAAGGATACAGTGTAGCTGAATAGGGACACGAGATTATTTTTGTCCCGGCTGATCCAAGTTCAGGTACTTGTATGGTCCTGGGCAAGTTACTGAAATTCCTTGCAACCCCTGTTTGCGCCCCAGTACAATCCGGATAGCACCCCTGTGTCCGGGCTCACAGGTAGCTGCCGGACCCGTGGAGGGCTGGGCAGAGGGCAGCGGCTGTGCCCACCGTAACAGGGTTAGCGCTACCAGCGCGGGAAAAACGGGAGGAGAGGCGCCCTTCGGTGAAGGGGTGATCTAGGGGAGCGGGGCAAGGGCCAGGCGCCCAGGAATCTGTAATCCCTGCCCAGCCCCCGCCCACCTACCCTGTTGCTCCTGCAGACCCTCCCACCACGACGCCCCCTCCGCCTCCCCCAACGCAGGCGCCCAGCGCGCTGTCCCCGTCCCAGAGCCCCGAGACTTGTGTGCTCTCCAAGGGCGGCACAGGTAAGGGGGCCGCGGCACCCACGGGGGAGGGGTGTCACTCTGATCCTGGAGGGTGGTCCAAATTTGGGGGAAACAGAGTCCGGAGCGGGGAGTGGTGCTTGGGATGGCAGGGTGGAGCGGGAGGGCGATCCGCGGCCAATTGCTAAATGTCGAAGCTTCGCTGTGGTCAGCAGTCTGGAGTTGGCTGGATCTCGCCTGCGAGGTCTACATCTGGGCGCCCCTGGCTGGCACATGCGCGGTCCTTCTGCTGTCACTGGTCATCACTATCATCTGCCACTGCAGTAAGTCCTGGGGAACCACCGTGGGGGGCAGGCTGGTCCACACTCACCCTTTGCGCTCGCTCCAGGCAGTCCTTGAGAGGAGGTGCGGTTCATATTTTTGAGATTCCAGATCTGCGGAATCGCCACGTTCACCACGTCTGCAATGTTTACATTTGCAATGCAACATTTGCAGTGCTTTTAAAATTGATGTTTGAAGAGAGGGAAGAAGTAGGGAAAGAGGAAGAATTGCACAGGGAGACCCGTGGGGGCACTCACTTTCCTCTTTCTTCTTACCCAGGGAACAAGCAGCGCGTTTGCAAATGTGCTAGGTGAGTCTTATCCTTGGGCTTGGGTACCTGGTCCTGACTTCCCAGAGGCAGGGGTGGGAACCTCTCCCAGAGGGAGGCCGTGGCTGTGCCCTCAGGAGAGGGACTCAGCTAAGCCCTGAAAAAGAGGCAAAGGCTATGGGTGTGGCTGAGTTCTTGTTGGGTGGGGGTGGGGTGGGAGCGGCAAGACCTCTCTAAATCTCCATTTAGTTTAGCACCGGGAAAACCACCAGAGGGCTTCCTCCTGTTCTCTCGGTGGCCCTTTTTTGGAATAATTCCATCCAGATTCCACTGCCTTCTCAAGAAACCCCCACTCCCTCCCTTCTCGGCTCCTTTTTGGAGGGAAAGCCCCGACTTTCACCTCCCCGGTGACCTTGACAAAGGCTCTAAGCACCTAGGCTAAGTGGGCTCAGATGCTGCCTCAGCCACCTCTGGTTACGTGACCCTGGGCAGCTTTCTAACGTATCCCACCCAGTACGGACGCCATAGTTGCTCCTGCGGGTGCTGTGAGGATCAAACAAGACGGCGTGAATGAGGCACTCTGAGGGGCTGCTAAGGCCGTTCACCCCATCCCACATTGGTGCCCCAGGGACAAGTTCTCAGACCTACCCAAGACTGAGGGGTTGGGGAGCTGGTCGTGGATGGATGCTGCATCAGAGAGGCTCTTGCCACACTCAGTCACCTTGCCCCTCTTTCAGGCCCCAAGTCAGATCTGGAGGCAAGCCGACCCCTGCAGGGAAAGTCATCTAACATGGCGCCCGGCCTGTCCGACAGCCACTACATGACTGCATACTGAGATCGTTCCTTGGACAGCAAGTGCTTCTCCTTTGGGTTTTCCAGTCTTTCTTCCTATGTATTCATTCTCATTATTATTTCAGTGGTGGGGGGGGATGGTGTTACTCTTTCTTCATGTTATTTGACAAAAAACCACCATGCAGTGTCTGCAGTTCACAAGGGTCACAGTACCCTCGCACATACCTAGTGGGGAAAGGGTAGGAAGCAAGGTTCTGAGAGGCTGGAATCCACTCCCTTCCACTCGAGTGTGGGCAGCACCCTACAGCTATCCCTCCCTCGTCATTCCCGCTACCCACTTGAGCTCAAGTCCCACCCTGAGCATTCTATATAAACCCAGGCCAAAGTGCATGCAGCCCCTTTTGGAACCTGAAAGCCGGATTTATCAGCATTTATCAGCACATATGACAGTGTTCTTTTCTGTCATCCATTTCTGTCCATGACCTTTAATAAATGTAGCTGCTTTCCCCCCACGATCAAATGTCTGCTTTGAAGTTCTTTGCTTGCCTTACGAAAGAGCTTGGAATCTGTGGGGGTCCAACAGGGTTACACGGTGGTGGGCCGGAGGCAGCCTGAGCATCCTTTGGTCTAAACCTTTCTCTGCTCAACCAGAGGAGGTTGAAGCCCAGAGATGGGAACAACTTGACCGGTGACAGCAAGGTAGGGTTGGAGGGTGGAGCCCTTGTCTAGCAGCCCCAGGCTCTTTCCTTCACACCAGCTGGGGCTCTCTTCCGGCGGTCAGGGGCTCAAGGTGGGGTGCTTGGGACTCAAACCATTGTTGGGCCTCAGGCCCAAGGAGGTAATGAAATGAAGACAGAATTTCTGCCTTGACAGATTCTATCATGTTTTTTTTGTTTGTTTGGTTTTGGTTTTTTCCGGTATCAGGAATCGAACTCACAACCTTGCACTTGCCAGGCAGGCGCTGTGCTGCTGAGCTAAATCCCCAGCCCCTCTACCATGTTGATGACATCAGACTTTTCTATAATGAAGCACATAACTGTATAGCCTCTGTACCAGCTGAAACCAAAGTATTTTTAAGGAATTACCCTGTGTTAGGGAAAGCAGAGCAGGAAGCTGAGAAATTGTAATAGTACAAATTCCTATAATAAAGGGGAGAATTCAGTCCTGGAAAACGAATCCCTCCATCGCTAAAGAAAGTCACTGTGAAATTCCCATAGGGCCAAACTGCTCAGCAGGGGCTGAAACTTCAAGTATGAGTGGAGCACCAGTAAAGCTGAGCAGAGGTCCTCTTCAACCTCCAAATTTGAGATACTAGATTGGAAGACGCTCAGGGGATTGCTGATGACAATTTAGACGTGAAGACAATTACTGGAGTGCTCACAGCACAGTTCTGCCCCGCCCCAGCCCCAGATGTGATGATGAGACTGAAACCCAAACTGCTGTCCCATGAGGGTGTTTTCCCATAGTATTACAAGCCCTGAGAGAGGAAAAGAAAACCTATGTAAAGAAACACTAGTGTCCCATAACTCTTAATCCATGGTTAATATTATGGTGTAACTTTTTTCTGTGCGTATATGTAAAATATCTACCTTTTAACAGTATGCTTTTATAAGTGGCTTTAGTACATAAACATTTATAGCATCCTTTTTTAATGGCTAAATAGCATTCCATTTTTGGCTGTGTCCCACTTACTGTTACCTAGTATTTGTTTCTAATTTTCCATGACTATAATAAAACTGCTGAAATTTTCTTTAGGATAAATACTTGTAAGTAAAATTATCAGGTCAGCTCCTAGTCTTCACCTTGGAGTCTTCATTATCACAGAAATCATGATTACCTTCTTCTTCCATCACTTTCCTTTCAGTAGATGGTATTCCTCCAAAAATCTATCACAAAATCTTTATTTTGTTTTGGGGTAAAATATACATGCAAAAAAAAATTCCACAAGGCCTAGGTATACAGCTACGTGTTATAGTGATCAGCCCCATATAGCCAGAAAAAAGGTCAAAAATAGAACTTCACCCCCTATCTTTCCCCAATGCCTGCCTTTCACCACCTCTTTTTTGTTACTTTGTGGGTGGGTGTGGGTGTGGGTGTGTATGTGCCCATGCTGGTACTGAACCCAAGGCAACAGTCATGCTAATCACATGCTCTACCATTGAGTTATAGCCCTAGACTGTTTTTTTTAAAACTTTGAGATGAGGTCTTGCTATTTTGTCCAGCTTAGCCCCAAACTCTTGGGCTCAGGGGAGCCTCTACCTGCTCTCTCCCCCCGGGTAGGAGGAACTACAGGCAGGTGTCACCAAAACCTTTACTTTTTAATACCAAGATACTTTTTTTGTTTGTTTTTTGAGACAGGGTCTTGTAGTATAGTACAGGCTGGCCTTGAACTTGTAGCAATCCTCCTGCCTCAGCCTCCTGAGTGCTGGGATTACAGGCACACGCCACCATGCCCAGCTGAAACCAAGATACTTTTAGAGAAGTACCCTGTGTGTGGGAAAGCAAACAGAAGTTGAGAAACTTCCTGAGACCAAGAATGGCACTTGCCTCTTCCTCTGTGAACCCAATCACCTGATCAGCACCAGGAAGCACACCAGGGTCTGGGGTGAGCTCAGGGCACCAGGTGGAGGCTCCTGGCGTAGCAGAGCCTGGGCACTATGCTGCCTCTAGACCCTGGAGAAGGACAAGAACCATCCCACCACGGGTGGCTTCCCCTTCCTTGTGGGGGAAGTTTGTGAAGCTGGCCATGCCAGGGTGAAGGTCAGGGTTTCCATCAGGAGTGGCATTTCTCTTCAATCTTCAGCTTACCGCTCAGCAGTGCTTGGACGGAGCTTCAGTGGGAAGGCTGGTGGGGGTGGCGGGATAAAATACTGAATTTCAAAAGGGGTTCATTCACAAGTGAAATGGGAAAAGAACCATTCAGAAATTTAAAATATCAACATAGGAACATTCGAACATTAGTGCCCTGGACCAGGCAAAGCAGCAGCCAATGTGCAAGCCTTGTAGCCTAAAGCGTGAAGGCTGGGCTGTGAATTCAGGCTCCCACAGGACCAGAGGGATCAACCCGCCGACACACCTAGGAGAACCCAGCAGTTCCAAGCTGCCATCCTCAGGCTCAACATTTCATTTGCCACCTGCCAGTCTGAAGCCCTGATTCTCCAGGTCTATGTGGAAGATACTCACAGTGCACTCATTCGGACCTCGAAAAACAGGAAGTAACTAGTGACTCTTCAGCCACGATCTTGGTATCAACTGTCCAGAAGCGAGCCTCAACATGGTTCATTTAACAAACTGGTTTTATAGTAATTGTGAGAGCCCGCCCTATCCTTGGCAATCCCCCAGTGGATCTTTGCCCTGTGAGTCTCTTTCTACCAGCTCCTGCTCCTCAGGGCTGCCCCAGCCCTCTGCAAATCCTCTACGGTCACATCGGGGAGCGGGTGCAGCACTTAACCTGCAACCCCTCCCACAGGCAGCTTCGAGGTGCTTTTCCCCAGAATGCAAGGCCACCCCAGCAGAGTAATTAGTAACGCAGAGGCTGTGAAACCAGCCTCCTGGCTCTGCTAGTAACTGTGACATCTCTGCAAATGACTTCACTTCTTTGTACCTCATTTTCCTTGGCCATAAGATGGGGATAATAATAAATAGTCCCTACCTCAAAGGGAGGAATACATGAGTTCTTATCAATTTAACTGCCTCACACAGCTGCTGGGAAGTGGCAAAAATAATCTATGCTGTGAAGAATGTATTGAGGTTTTTCTTTTTTTTTTGGTTTTTCTCCGGTACCGGGAACCGAACTCACGACCTTGCGCTTGCCAGGCAGGCGCTTTTGCCGCTGAGCTAAATCCCCAGCCCCTGTATTGAGGTTTTCATAAAGCCATACTGATTACGTTGGGGATCCAGCAACCTGTGTCTGAGTCTTCCCATGTCACACAGGGACCCGTTCCTGATGGATGTTACTACCTAAACACACGGCGCTTGCACCCCAACGCATGGGAGGGTGCCCCGTCACACGTCTCAGGATAGCTCAGTCCCTGGGGGGGACAGGAAGATGTGAGCCTCTGCTGTACTTCCTGGCCCTAGCTCCAACTCCGACTGCCAGGGTAGGACCCAGAAAGGTTCCTGTGGGCAAAACGGGTCTACAATCTCAGATAGGACCAAGCCTCTAAAGAAAATACACAAAACGAGCGCAAATAAATTCCTACGACGCCACGACCTTCGCTTATCACTGAGCAGGACAGACAATTCAGCCTGTTCGTCCCGCCGGTGCTGAGCGTGGTGGTGGCCCTCCCACCAGCAGCCTGGAAGGCCCGCTTCCGCTGCCAGGCGTGCACTCACTACCGCTGTGGTCAGAGCACAGGCCAGAGCTCCCGGATGAACCAACGTGGGGGGCGGCACCCTAGAATCAGAGTCCCCTACTTGTTTACTTAAGATAGTCCCCGGCCACCAGCTCTTCCCACGCTGCTGATACCACGGAATGGGGTGAGATGGTGGCTGCAACATTTTAAAAGCATTCTTCCCAGGCATGCAGACCCCTAGCAAACGCAGCGACTGTCTTTCCTCACAAGCGGCACCTCCCCGCTCCCTCCCGCGTACCTCTGCCGCCTGGCACGTTTACACAGACCCGGTTCCACGAAATACTTTTTCAAGGTACATTTAATTTTTAAAAATATACACAGGAGAAGCCATGTGTTTTACATAGGAATACACACATTAACAAAGCATTTCTTATAGTTTTCCAAAACTCTATTATATCAGTCCGAAATTTATAAATTAAATATATCAGAATTTTTTAAGTTAAAATGAAATCCCTGAAACTACTGGTTATGCTAGACTTTGTCCAAAATCAAATGAACAGAGAGTATGAGTACGGTTTGTGTTAAATAAGGTTTATTGTTAGCTTTATTGCCTATAGTTTCTAAGATGCAACTTTACTGTGCCTTTGCAAACAGGATACATCTCTTAAAAAACTGATCAAAAGTTTCCATACATATAGCTCTATATGATAGATTACAGTGCAACACTATTCTTCTTACATAATTATAGAAATACTATAGGAACCCAAGAGCACAGGGTGAGCAAAAGAAATACAATCCTGAGCCATCTGAACAAGATGATTTGATGAATCCTTTTAGTGTAAGTTTAGGAAACACGAGGGTGGAAAAAAATACATGCACACTGCAGTCGTGAGAAAAATACATAGAACACCTGTCCCTTGCTAGACACAGGTGGGGTGACGGTGAGTTTCCAACACATGCACACTCACTCACACTCTTGTTTTCTTCTGCTTCCCTCCCATCCTCAACACATTCACTCCCACCCCTTCCCAAAAGAAAGATCAGGCACTAAATCCTAGTGAGCCCCACATCTGCCTAGCTGGAGGAGGTCAAGTGACTGCTAAAAGGAAATGTAGGTCCAGAACACAAAACAGAGCATGTGCTGTCAGCGTAGTCCAGCTGCTTCTGCCTCCTTGGAAGTAAATGAAGCATATGCCCACTACAGTTCAAAAGATCTCTTAAACACAAAACTTGTGTTTTCTCACTATGTCTTCAAGTAAAATCAACAGCAGAAAACTCATCCCACATCTAACTGCCTTGTCTGTTACTAAAATCCACTTGTCACTGTATTTTTTGGTATCTGTTCAATTATGGTTCAGTAAGGAAAGTTCATGAAGCTTGTACCTGCTCAGGGTAGGCACTGCTGTACCACGTAAGACAGCTGGACAGGCTCACAGAACAGCAAGCCGCCCCCGTGTTCCTTGCTACCATCCCCTCAAGATCGCAGCCTGCTAGTGTCACCAGAGGCAACAACGCAAGTAGAGTTAAATGATGATGGGGATTTGGTTTGGGTCTTCACTGACACGTCCTCGTGATGAAACTAACCAAACCTTCCCCGAAGATAACCTGAGTCTGCTGACTGCAAAGACTGACCAGTGTGGCTGACAGTCCGCTTTATCAGAGGTGGAGCTGGAATACCAGAGGGCTAACGTAGTCTACCAGCAGCTTGTCTCTGCGGACCAATCAAGAGTTCTTCGTTTTTGTTACATCCACGGTCCCAAAGTCCAACACCACTGACGTGGAAATAACTTACAGCATCAAGAATACTGAACTTGAACTACATATCCTATGGGACTAACTGGAGAGGAAAAAATAAAAACAAAAACAAGGATCCTCATCCCCCCACATGATTTGGTGTGGGTTTTAGTGTCTCTATATATCTCAGCTGCTATAGAAAAATTTACACAAAAAGATTTACTTCATAACGTCCTTATTTTCAATTAAAAGCTCACACATTCACAAAATGCACACTATGAATATGAGGTGGCTCTTTTCTTAAAACCTTTAAAATAAAGAGGCACCATTACCCGTTCATTTTTGTATTAGAAGTCTCATAGAATCGTCAATAAAACAGAAATGGCATCTGTGATCATTAACACAAAGGAGAAAAAAAGCTCAAAAAGATCACCTCAGCCACTGTGAAGAGTCTACCTGAAAGTACAGGTGTTCTGGCTAAGTCAGAATCTAAAGATTTGCTCAAAGGTTTTTAGGGTCGAGAATAGTCCCATGGCCTCTGTCCACAAATGGTAAACTGAAATGGCTCTCAAAGAGATTTAAGAAACCATTCTGAAGTTATTTCCAGTGGACGTCATTAGTCTGACTGTAAAAAGCCTTGTCTTTGATTACCTTTTCAAGTGCAGGCAGGCAGACACAGCACCCCCACACCGCCGACACAGACTGCACCAGCAATGATGTGGCCGTGCCGCGTCTGTGAAGGCTTTCTAGAGCAGGAAGGACAGAACGTTGTACTTCAGCATCTTTGGTTTTCAGGTCTGGCCTCTTTGAACCCACCTCTCCTGCACATCTAGCCTCTGATGTATTTTAAGTGTCCATGCGCTGGAAGGTTACAAGACGTAATTCTCATGGTAAATTATTAGGCCAAGAGTTTCCATGTTTTGGCCCTCTTCCAGCCCAGTGTGGTGCACAAGGGCTGTACTCAGGAAGCTGTACAGTCAAATGCTGCTACAGCGTGTTCTTTTTAAAGTTTCATGGGCGGCACAGGAAACTGTTAAGAGGGATAAAGCAGAGCTCTGGCCTCCGCCCTGGAAAGTGGCCTGAGCCAACTGTATGAAGGGTCTTGCTGCCAAAAATATTTACCACCAGCCGCTAGGGCACATCTGTATTGTCCAAACCTTACATGAAGCCTAATGGTTGGGTAGAGGTTTGAGGTGGAAAGGTAAGAATAAGATGTGAATAAAGCTAAGCTGCCTAGGGAGAAAGAGGTTAAGAAACAAAAACAAAACACTCTAGAATTTAATTCGAAGGGGAAAGTAAGTAAACCAGTTTATACCCCCAGCGGAGTACTGCCTGGTGTCCTCTCCCTTCTCTTTTGCAGTCCAGGAGCTTGCCTTAGTCTCTCCTTCACTGCTTTGGTACAGGGGAACTTTACAGATGGTTCTAACAGTGAAGCGGAAGTCACTGTGGGGTCAGACTGCGTTTGGACAAGGCCAACACTCTGACCTGGGCCGACTGAGGTTCCTGTCAAACCTCACAGCACCCAGCGGCCATCGATACGAACATCAGCATGCAGTACTCAACACAGGGAGTTGCTGCAGTGCCCTGCTCCTTCCCAGTGAAGCCCAGTTCTCCCAGGTAAACATTTTAGAACACACCGTCTGGGTCGGTGGCTGTGAACGTTGCCGATTTGCAACGAACTTAGCACCAAATCTGTTGCCCACCCCTTCCCCTTAACCTAAGTCTACCTGTGGCCTAAAAGTGGCACATTTCTCTCTGCTTTTGTTTTCTTCTTTTTTCATTTTTTTTGCATGAAAGTATTCCTATATTGATATTCAGATGAAATAAAGTTGCAAAATATTTGGTAACTTCCACATAACGTTTTTCTCACGATGAAGTAACTTCACGGGTCTTCAAAGTCAGAATTATGTCCACTGAAGTCTTTTCCATGTAGTCCCTCATCCAGAGAAAGTCTCTTTCACATGGCTCTTTCTAGACAGTGCATTAAATGAAGGTACTTCACTGAAAAAAGATCATTATCTGTATCCATCTGAGTAATATACAGATTCAGTCAATGAGATGATAGCCTTGCAGAAGAGCGGCATTGAACAGTAAGTATACTAATCAAATACAAAAACAGCAATGAACGTATTTTGCACTACAGAAAAGCTGCTAGCTTCTAACTCTAAGGACTCAAAGTGACGGGGATGGTAACTGCATTTTAGGACTGGAACATGCTTTTTCCTTCCCAGATATACAATGTTTGATGCTGGTGCACAGATCTATATATACACATGCACAGCACTGTGTCCGTGATGATATACATGTGGCAGACAGCCAGGTCCTGAAGGCAGATTTCAAAGGATAGGGCTACCAAGACCAAGAGAGCATATATCAACTTAAAAACACTTCTAACTTCAGAACTTCATTTTATTGAATGCACTTAAAACAAGCACCTCTTGGTAATAAAAGCAAAAAACCCAATAATATTCCTTCCACTCAATTCTAGCAGAAGACTTCTCACACCAGCCTGCTAAATTCACGACAGAATTTTAAAGCGGCAGCCCACTGTGGCTACAAGCAGAGCTCAAGAGCAGGTGCGCTGACTTCTTGGCGAGAGCTGGAGCAGAGGAAAACATCAAAAAGCAAATTTGGAATCTATCACAGCTTTCTTCCTTAAGCAAAACCAGAAATGCAAATTAGTTTTACAACCACAATTGGACTTGTTCCAACTTCCTCTGAAGAATTTTTCAGTTAATTACGTGTAAATAGCAGGAAAGAAAGCTTTGCACAAATGCTCTCAAGGCTTACAATTATCAAGAAAATGACATTAAAGCAGGAGTATTAAACACATGGAGGGAAGCTCAATTTCTGTTTCTGCTCTTAAGTAGTAAAAAAAACCACCATATAATTAAGTACAAAAACCTGCACTGAATGACAACTGCTGGTGTATTTACTTGATCAGAAATGAAGACCAAGAGTATAATAAAGCCCTATGGTAACACTCATCTGGGGCACTTCCCTCGGTGTGCACAGCGTGGTGGCAGAGTTCCTGGAGCGTTAGCTTACAGAAACGCGGAAGTCCTCGGTTAGCTGCATTCAATGCAACGCTCTCTTCTGAAACGTACCCACAATTCAGTTTCATTTACAAATCAACAAACTAAATTCATTTTTTCAGAAAAATATCTGTTTGGCATCTCCTGGACTTTGTTCCATTGGACAATATGGACATTTTAACCTGAGAAGAAGACAGAAAAGACCAAATAAAGGAACAGGATCCGTACCGAGCAATCGATTTTCATCTGGTCTTAGGATATCTTTAACAGTTATACATGCACAGCCCATGCACTGGTTTTTTGCTTGGAGGATTAACCATGCTTTTCCCTCAATATAACTGCTAAGCTTTGAAGATTCACAAACACTCTCCTCCCGTGGAAATCAGTGAGAATTGTTTTACAAACAAAGACAACTTTTCTGAAAATTGCTTCAGATCCTATTTTTCTTCTCTAAAGTTTACAGTGCACCTGTCTCTAAATGAATTTCAAATGTGTGGGTTATGCAGTTCATGCAAGGGCAGCAAACCGGTGCCAGGTACTCACGCCACACCAAGAATGCCCTGCATGTTTCACTTGTGGCATAAGAAACCAGCACAGTCTCAACTAAGACCACTGCTCTGTCTGGCTTCTATAGTACCAGAGCTACTGCATAGTCTAGGAAGGACACAAAGGGCTGCTGAACCTAGAAACAGGCTTCTCAAAGTTTTTGAAAAGTTGAGCTTAGGCTGAGCGTGGTGGCAGACACCTGTAACCCTAGCACTCAGGAGGCTGAGGCAGGAGGATCATAACAAGGGGCCAGCCTGGGTCTAACACAGTGAGTTCAAGACCAGCCTGAACTATAGAGTGAGACTTTGTTTCAAAAAAACAAAAACTAAATACATTTTCAGGTGGTGAAATACTCTATAGTTTTATATCCCCCACCGCCGAAAAAATCCCCAAGACAAATTACTAGGTAAAAAGTGCTGAAAAATACTAAACAGAGAGGGGCTGCATCACTCACCCCAAAAATTAAGAGCTGCAGATCATGCTTAGAGATCTAACCCTAGAACAGACTAAGCAGACTTGATAAAAGATCAGGTATCATGCACTTTGCAGAACAGCTAAGAAATCCATTCCTAAATCTAGCCACACCCATTCATCATACTTGTTCTCCCACCAAGTTCCGCGAGATTCACTCACTAACATTTAAAGAGTCTGGCACTTACTTGCTGCCATTGAACATTTTATTCAGGGCATCCCTTGATATTATATGGCCACAGACCAGTTTCATGGGCGGGTTGTTATCTGTTGTCTGCTGACGAAGGATAGGACACGCAAATATCGAGTGATACCAGCACTTTTTACCAAGGTCAACTTCAATCTGCTCAAAAAGGGAAAGTAAACGTGTTAGTTCCATTTCAGAAAACCTCCAGACACACTCTTGAAAATTCCTCAGGGTATAATCAAGAACAAAACCATCAGATCTGGGGGGAACTGGTACATGTATATAGTATCTTGATTGTTTTTGACCCCCTTACCTTCCACCCTCCGTAAGTTCCCCAATTCTCATATAAGAAAAATTATGCAACATTTAACTGTCTGTGTCTCATCTGCTTCACTTAACATTATTTTCTAGGGCTGGGCATGCAGCCTCTCTAGACTGTTTCCAAAAAGCTTAGCTCCTGCGAGCTGTGCTGCTGCCAGATGATGCTGCTAACTCCTCCCAACCGCCGCGCAGCACACTCAGCTGGTGGTAAAATTCAGCGCAGCGAGTAACCTCCCCCGTTTTTGTTTCTATTTTCTAGAGGCAGATTCTATGTAGTTCAAGCTGGCCTTAAACTCGCTTACATAACCCAGGCTGGCCTCAAGCACAGCAAATCTGCCTCAACCTCCCCAGTGCTGGGATTACAGGTGTGCCCCACCACGCCTGCCAAGGAACTCCTTCAAAGGCAGCCTAAATGGTTTACATCTGTGTGCGCTTCAGATCTGCGATGCCCAAGTTTGAGCGTAATGGCCCAGAGAAACCACCAGAAACAGGGCAGTAAAATAAGTTTCAAAAGGGCCTTCTGCAATCTGTACATCGAAGTCCACAGCACTTGTATCCACTGTTTCTCTTTGCTGTAAAGGACGTAAGTCATGGAAGCCATGAAATCGCCTAGTAGGGCAGCTGGCCCATGCCAGAGGCTCCAAAAATGCCAGTGTTCCTTCTAAATCTAAACACGGCAACCAGAGAAAAAGGCCAACACCAAGGCTCTTTCAGCCAAGCTGACAAGAACCTCAAAAAACAATGCTAACACACAGACTCCCGGCTAACCTGCATCTCAGGCTGCTCTGCCCTCTGCTCAGCGGCACCACTGCACACAGCGTAACTCGGCACTGCCGGCGCCGGGCCTCTGCCCCAGACGCGTGTGAGGGCCTGCGTTCTTTTCCCTTGCTCAAATGAGCTGAACCAGAGCAGGTGCTGCCTGTGTCCTGACCACACTCAGGGCCAGGAAGGCACCTGTGTCTCTAACCACAGAAAGACCTTCTTTGGGGAGAAGCTGGGGCAGCCAACTGCTAGGTTTGCCAGCTGGGAGAGCAAGGGACTGCAGATAAACCTGTTACCAGGTGTGGCGGAAAAAAAAAAACCTAAACAGTATGTCAGCCTTTTCAAGGGCCGGGAGCATGCGGGGAATGACAATTCCAGAAGCAGCACATACTCCACACCCTAACCGCACCTGGCAGCCACCATGCAAGTAACTGCAGCGTGCGCGACAGCCCTCTAAAGGGACAAAACTACTGCTTAGTGGGGTGGCTGCAGGTAATGCTTAAAACCATGGCACTTTCCACCACAGCAGTGAGGCAGAGCACTGCAGGTCCCAGCCGTTAGACTTTCACTCTAACAGTGACGTACTTCTAACTGGTATGAGAAAAGCAGCAGCACAAGCACGTGACTGCACCAACGCCAATGCTTCAGACAAAACTAAGTGTAGGTAAACTGACATACTGCTTTCCACATTTAAGAAAGCAACAGGACGAGCGTCTGTGAACTGTGCTCCAGGGCACCCTGCCTGCTACCACATATTTGGACCTTTCCCATTTCTGATGCTTTTCCTCACTGGTTTTCATGGCCACTTCAAGTCAAAAGTTCCAGAATATTCCTCCAGCGCCTCTAAAATGTACGAGGCTTTTCAGCTTTTATCTGGGCCGGTGGGGGTGGGGAGGGTGAGTGTGGGGCTAGGGACGGAACCCACGGTCTTACACAAAGCATTCACTCTGTCACTGAGCTCCACCCCGAACTCATCTCTGTGCTCAATCCACGCACACATATATATATAAAACCCTGTCAAATGGCTTCAACAGCGTTTCCTGGTTAAAAGATGGGCATTTAAAACCCTTTAAACATGGTCTCTTCTTATGGCAGGAAATGTAAACAGTCAACAGAAAATGAACTCACAGGCAATTCGTCTTTTTGGTTCCAAACTCCAGTGCACTGCCTCTGCTCAATCACAGCTTTGATGTTAATAAGAGCCGGCAGCGCCACACAACCTGCTGAGAAACTGGGAGAGGAGGGGGCATGCGTCAGTGCCAGCCGGGTCCCCAGACGTCCGTGCTGTGGCTCTGGCCTTCTGCTCTGCTAAAAGCAAACCTGGCCACGTCCACTAGCGGAAAAACAACACCTTTCCCCTCCCCCATTCCCCAGACCCACCGCTACATTTTATGTAGCTAATGAAAAAGAAACAATCCTTGCTTAAAAGCAAAGCCCTAAAATTACCGAATAAACCTCACTAATAAGGAAGAAATGAAGTTAAAAGAAATAAAAACCGTAGAAAACACTCTAAAGCTATCATTTCTGATCTGCAAATAAACAGTTCTAACAGAAAAGGAAGCAGCGTGGGCAGCCAGCACTGGGAGGGAGGATCTGAGAGGAGGGACGGACCGCGCCAGTTCCAAGGGAGGAGGTAGGAGGTGCTGCTGCGGCCCAGTCTGAAAGGGGAAGAAATGCGCTTGCACAGAATTCTTCACTCAACAGGTCCTAAAACCTAACACTTTTGCCTGTTCTCCCCCTTTCCATACCACACACACAGACCGTATACTTGAATCATTTTTCTTGTAAGATGTACTCTTACGCACTCGTTTATTAGACCAGTAATACTCAAAACACGGCCTGCAGACTGCTGCTTGTTTACAAACCCAGAGAAAGCCCAGAAAATTTGCTCACGCCAGCGGTACTTAGACGGCAGTGGAGAAAACTGATGATCTTTTAAAGCATTTTATAAAAACATAGTATCAGTGATGAAAAACTCTCCCAGTTTATAATGACCAGAATTACGGGGCTCTGTTTATTAGTCATCAGTAAGATTTTTCTTGCATAGATCTCCTGAGACCTGGATCGTCCTTTCCAGGGGAAGGCACCCAATTCTCAGATCTGGAAGTGTTCGCAGCCAGCCCTCCGCCTTGTCCCGCTTCAGGTCTGAACTCAGCTCAAGAGGCCCTTGATCAGTCACCCCCAGCAACTCCACTTCAGGACGTCAGATCCAGAGCTCCTCAGGGAAGAGTGGAGACATCACACCCCAATTTTCTCTCTACCCAGTCCTTGTTTTCTGTGGGGTTGCGGGGTAGGAGAGGTTTATCAGGTATCAAACTCAGGACCTCATGCTTGCCAGGCAAAGGTTTTTTGTTTTGGTACCGAAAATCAAACTCAGGACCTCGCACTTGCCAGGCAGGTGCTATGCTGCTGAGCTACACCCCAGCCTGCCCAACCCTGCTGCTTTCATCCCCCTACAGGGGCTGATCTCAGTGGGCCTCCCGCATACACATCCCCATTCCTGGGTTGTTCCCCGGAGAACCTGACGGTGACAGCACTGCACCGTTCACGCAGGAGGGTATCTCACGCTACGGGAGACGCGGTGCGGGAACATGGACTGTCCCTCATTCCTCCCAGCACGCCACAGTGCCTGGCACACACCGGGGAACCAGAATGCTTCTGGGATTAAAAGGACAGAAGAACTAAAACAGTTATTTTCCTAGAAAATTCACTTTGTTTCAGGAGCCTTTTCCATGCTGAAACATTAAGGAGGCCAGGTGTGGTGGCACATGTCTATAATCCCAGCACATAGGAGGCTGAGGCAGGAGGATTACTGTAAGTTCAAGGCTAGCCTGGGTTACACAGTTAGTTCAGGGACAGCTGAGCAATACATCGAGACCTTGTCTCAAAAAACCAAACCAAAAATAAAAAAATCACAAAGTTTTCATATTAGAAATATAAAAAAAAAGACATTTACAGTATCAGAAAAAGTACTAATTCATTTAAAAATTAAAAAGACTACATACCATGTTTTAAATTATGTTTTTAAAAATGAAAATACATTTGTGATAAAACTGGTATTGTCTACATTTTTACAAGTCTCTATGTTTATTAATAAAGACAGCTGGGTTCTTGCAAACTCCTTTGTATTTGATCTGCTGTAAGATGGTTCCTTTGGCTGAAGTGAAAGAAAAAATATACTCTCACACAGACACATAGTACTTTAACTGCTCTGCCACAGAACTACAAATACTCTTTAATACCATACTACTGCTTTTAGCAATAAACCCTACCACTGAAGGCTGCTGCCGTGCTACACTGCAATCCACTGGTCTGATTCATTCTTTGAAAAACTACCCATCCACCCTTCTGTAAAACCATACTGAATTAAGACTTCCCGAACGTTTCACGTTTCACTCTATATTATAATATCCACAGAAGTAACACCTGTGATACTATCATCCGTCTCATCAGAAAAGTCTTCATGTAAAGGGAAGACGACAAACTCAGTCATGCATACTAACACTTAAAAAAAATTTCAATTTTAGCTTAAAGTACTGAATTTCATCATGATGGCAAGATACTGTCAGTTGCTTTAAAAGGCGTACTTCCTTCATTTAGAATACGAATGTCAAAACCTGAGCATGAACAGGTGATTTATCTGTTGTCATTCTCAAGTAAAAACTGTACTGCAGGACAAGAGTAACGAGTTCGGCTCAAATAAGTCAAACGACATTCAGGTGCGTGTCTTCTCAAGGCACTCACCACACAACAGCATAAAGCTGAAGTACTTTATACAAATTTCCTGTCATGGCGTACTAAAAACATGGGGACTCGAAGGTCAGGATTCACTACAATTAATAATGCCTCACAAGCATGTCTCAGGGTGCAGACAGGTGGTGGTGAGGAAGACAGCAAGCGCGTGTGGAGGCTGGTGTCACTGCCCCAGCTCCAGCCATGCTGCCAGTCTTTAGCTCGCTACTGTCACAGCACCATCTGCGCCCACATCAGCGACGTGGCAAAAGCTCTGGGGACACACGAGGCGCACGGGCTTTAGCTACCATCCCCCGAAAGCCGTGTTACCAATGCACACAGAAGACAAACCTCCTCTTGGCTTTCACCGATGGAGTCACAGTCCACTACCACATGGGGTCCATTTCCATACCTGACGCTGAGCGGGGACTCCACAGAGAGCCCCAGGAGGGCACAGGCATCCCGAGTGAAGATGTCACAGATATCAGCCCACTGGTTTGCGTCGAGCAGGTGAACGTACGGTGAGTTCTCAATCCCTTGTCTCAGGTACACGAGGCTTCCCATCAACACCTGGATGTCTACATGAAAAGGCACCCATGATTTGCAGGTATGGCTAATCACACCTGAGACAGCGTACTCAAGGAAACAGGCTGAGAAACGCAGAGACACTCCACCCTAATTGACACAGCCCAAAATAATGCAAATATTCTGGGCCATAAGCCTGGTTTCACAATTCCCTCAGCCTAAATTAAAGACAAAGTATGGAGAGAAAACAGAAGTAGAAAGCACTGAAAATACTGAACTTCCAAATCGGGTGTGGCAATGCACGCCTACAATCCCAGCACTGCTGGTGGGACGCAGGGGAGCAGCTGAGACAGGAGATCACTGTGGACTCAAGGCCAGAATTACAAAGAAAGACCCTGTCTTTAAAAAAAAAAAAAAAAAAGGAAAGGAAATATTGAACTTCTAGTGTTTTATTCTTGTTTCAGTTTGGTTTTTTGAGACAGGAGTCCCACTACGTAGTTCAGGATGGCCTTGAACTCACAGTGAAGCTCCTGCCTCAGCCTCCCAAGTACTGGGGTTAAAAGTAAGCACCACCACACTCAGCAAGTATTCTACTCTTATTCCTAGCATGGTATAATCATTCTTTCTCAGTCTCCTCTGAGTTTAACAAGGAACCCCCAATCTGCAATGTCTCTTTCAAGCTTTTCATTTCAGAGGCTTTAATGTTTTATTATTGTTTTACAGCCAGTCGCAAGGCTTTTGGGTGTGACTGTCATCCACAGTTGTTCTAGTTCATTAGTGAATATGTAAATTAGATGTAGTTAAGGTAAACTGAACTTCACTGCTGGCAAGAGCCTATTCCAAGCATTACGACACCTGACTCTAGACTCACCTTTCTGATGATTCAGGGCAAACGGCTGGAAATTTTTAGCGTACTGCAATGCCTCTCGCTGATTTGTAGTTCCACCCATTAACAAGCTAATAAAATAGAGTCGGTGCAGCTTAAATTCCAAGGAGCTGTTTTGTGCTATGAGCATTTCTCGGTTTGACACTGCCCATCTAAAAAAAAAGAAAAGAAAAGCAAGAAGATTTTAACAATAATCAAGAATACAACCAAGGTGCATCTGAAATTGTTTGAAACAGTACTTCACAACAGGGTTTGGCCTGCCATCTTGTGGAAGGCTGTGGTTACAACAACCCCTCTGCAGAGACCTGTAAAGAAAGCAAGCTTAACAAATTCTACCTGCAGGGTCTAGGTGACAGTCACTCATTTAGTACAGTTTTCCATCAACAGTGATGAGCATTGTGTCACCTGATGCACCTGAATCTGGACAGGACCGCACTCTGAAGCAGGTGTCAGCCAGGAGCCACAGGACTTGCCTGCCTGGGGCGGGTCCATTGCTCTTCCCCTCTAAACTGATCTGCTGGGCTGGGCGGGCGTGCAAGTATGGAGCTTGTGCAGCACACGCAAGGCCCTGGGTTCTATAGCCAATACCACTAAATAAATGAACTGGCTTGTTCACAAAAATGAATAAAGGATTCTGAAGGGAAACCACTTGTTTTTAAACTTTCATTAGCTGAAAGATTTTGTACTAATCACTTTGGGATTAAAAATGCTGCTTCCTCTCAAGGTGCTTTCAGGAATACCAGGAAGATAAAACTACACAGACAGAGTATCTTCCCCACACCAGAAAGGTTAGTGCATAGTGTTAGTAAGGGAAATAACGTTACTCAGTTCTGAGTGACCCGAAGTATAGTGGTTTAGGCCTCAACAGCCTGCACAGTTGGAATAATCCATCCTGAGCTGGGACTACTAGCTCAGGGGAGCAATAAAGCAGAAAAATATCCCAACCAGCTGTCAAAATCAAATTCTGCAATAAAGTGATAAAGAAGCATTTTATTTCTCTAAAATATTCGAACACAGACACTATTAGTATCTTACATTTTAAAGTCACCACTTATTAAACAAATACTCTCCAGCTAGCCCAATTCACCAAAGACCACTGGAATCAACTAGATATGAATATAAATTCTGGGCAATTCTACAAACTACAAGAGTGAAATATTTCAAGTTATCCATAATGAAGCAGCTGACTGGGACTGGGCCGCAAGGAGCTGCCCCTTTTCTGGATCCCGCCTTTCCCAAGAAAGGGCTGCACACACACATACAGGTCTTCTCCCCCTGCTGACGCAGCCACGTCTTATGCTCAAACTGTTACACTTGTCTGACCCTAAAGGCACATGATTAAGTTATTCATAATCTGGACCTTGGAAATATTTAAATTTAATTAAGCCGTGGGTCTTTGCCTGGCACAACAAGGAGTGTCACCAGGCCGCAGCACAAGTCTGACGAAGCCTGCTGACAGCAACATGGTCCAACAGCCGCCATCACTGCCAACGAACCGCGCTGCTCTCCTTCGCGAGGTGCCTTCCGGACAGCCGGCTCCAAGGAAGGTGTTTAAATCTGGCCCTCTGCCCTCAACTCACAACAGAACGAGTGTATTTTGCTGCTAACCTTAAGGAGGAACGATAATCATTCTTTTTCTGTTTCTGATATATAGTACATATATAAAGAGTTTGTAACACCAAGAAGGGACTTAAAGAGTAACCACGACTTTTAATAAAAATTAAATTTAAATTAAAAAAGGGGCAAAGCTCATTGGCAGGTACTTCACAGAAAAAAGAGAGTAACATTTTATTTCCATAGAATATTCATGATCTAGGTTAAAGGCGGAGGGAAATGTGATAAGCAGAACTTTTAGATACCAGATCTTTTAGGAATAATGACGCTGAGGAAGTTGGGTTTCACGTATTATTTATAAATTGCTAGTGCATGGGCATGGCTTTCACACCGCCATGGGGCACAGGCGGGGGCGGCTGAATACCGGGAGGCCAAGAACAGCAGCCCCCAGGGCAGCCCTTTGTGAGGTCCTCTGCGCTCACCTACGCTCTCCACTATGAACACAGCACTTTATGTTTTACGAGGCAAAATTCGTTATACTAATGAATAAAATTTCTTAGCCCCTTTCTTCATGAAAGGTCTGAGTAACTACTAATTACTTTTCCTTAAAGTAATTCAAGCTCTAAATTATCAATTTGAGCTTGGCAAGTTAAATACCCATGTTCCTCCTCCTTTTTTTCTTTAAAAATCCTTGAACAAACGTTTGTTTAGACAATGCAATTCTTAATTTATTAGTCAAATTTATATTTACAAACTTTCAAAGTTTCCTACAAGGCTACAAAGTAATCAGACGGAAATATTAATTCCTCCCAGTTCCTCACCAAGAAATGTTTAGAAAAATAAAAAGTAACAATACAAAGGAACTGGGAGAGCCAAGTCATGAGGATGCATGCCTACAGTCCCAGCACTCAGGCAGCTGAGGCATGAGCCTGAGGCCAGCTTGGGCTACCTAGTGAGTTCAAGGCCAGCCTGGGCTACACAGTAAGACCCTGTCTCAAAGAACCAAAAAAAAAAGCGCAACTGGGAAGGAGGGGAGGACATCACAGAGAGCCACATTCACGGAGGCAGGTTTTCGTGGGGGCAGGGTGTAACAGGGATCAATCCCAGGCCCCCCAGTGTGCCGGGAAGCACCCTGACGCTGATCCACAAGCTTCCAGCCTCCCGCTTCCTAAGGTCGTGTTTCTCCCCATTCTGTTCTGAAACTGCCTTTGTTCAATTTCTGAACACCTAAAAATCTCACACGGCAAAAAGACTTCTCAGCTTCTCCTTTCCCAGCAAAATATCATTCTCTGGAGATGATACAGCCCGTTTCCACCCGAGCCCCACACCCTGAAATACCTTCTCCTAGGGTCTCCCTGTCACCGCCTCAGGATTGCACCCACAAGCCTGCACTGTATTTCCCAATTCCCTGGGTACAGTCAACCAACCAGAGAGCACCGGTTAATTTAAGGCCACTTTCTGTGTCGCCTTTCAGTAAGTTCACCGATCTCTTTTCTCTTTTATCTCCACTCCATACGATCTTTGCTCCTATCAGTCTTCATCAGGCTGCCTACTTGATGCTCGCCTTCACAGACGGCCACTCGGGCACACATTTCCCAGCCACGTCGTACCCACACCAGCAGCTTGCCTGGCGGCCTGACATTAGTTAATCCATGATGGCTTCTGAGCGGAGAAGCCATCTTTCACTGGCAATGAAGTCCTCTCCTTCCATCCTTGTCCGCTGGGCCCTGTCTTCTTTGAGCGGAGGAGGCTAACTTCAACACTCTGGCCGCAATGTTAGCCAAACTGGCGTTTTGTTCTCATTTTTACAAAAGGGTCTCTGAAGTAGAAGCAAACGCTTCATTTAAGCCGCCAGCAGCATTCTGCTCATAGTGCAGTTCGAATGAAAAGAGAATAGAGCAACTTTATCTTGGTTTTTATGGTCACAAGACTTGTATCTCAGCTTTCTATAGGCTGCGGTCTTTGTCCCGGCCTCACTGCTGTCATTTGTTCTCAGATGTTTTTAATTATATCCAATTTCACTTGCTGACCAGATCCCTCTTTCAATTATCCACTTTTATAACCTTGAGTACAGAGAACAGACATTTATAATTATAAGCGACTCGAGCTGGGCTTGGTGGCGCATGCCTGTAATCCCAGCACTCAGGAGGCTGAGGCAGGAGGACCGTTGTGAGTTTGAGGCCAGCCTGCACTAAAAGTGAGTTCAAGACCAGCCTGAACTGCATAGTGAGACCATCTCAAAAAAGGGCAATTCAATGTTTATTTAACAAATGATGAGCTGCAAGTGATCATTAATCAGAGGAGAGGAGGAGGAGGAAAGAGGGGGAAAAGGGGGGAGGAAGAGGAGAAGAAGAAGGAGGAGGAGGATGAGGAAGAGAAGGAGAAGGAGGAGGAGGAGAAGACGAAGAAGATGAAGATGAAGAAGAATTGGGAATTTGATTCACAAAGTGGAACAAAGAAAAGAAAATTATAATTTTTTTTTTTCCGGAGACAGGGTCTCACTATGCAATTCAGGCTGACCTTGAATTCACTACGCAGTGCAGGTTGTCCTCAAACTGAAGTGTTCCTCCTGCCTCAGCCTCCCAAGTGCTTAGATTATAGGTGTACACCTCGCCCACTTGCCTGACAATCATAATTTTAATCAACCAGATAACAATCAAATTCCAAGATTACCAAGGAGGCAAAATTACGTAAGCATGAAACTCTAAGTGCACATTAACATCCTAACTGACTGCCAACAAAGCACCAAAAAACATACAAGCCACACAACCACATGAGGAGATACTAGGAACAGACCGCCACATTTGGAAATGGCATTTCCAGAAGACTTTTGACTTCTGATTACAGAAACATCTCCACTATACCAAGCCAGTAAGCTAACTAAACACACTCACTTATTAACTCTGCTGATTTTCTAAAATTCCACTTTCAAATCACCAACATAAGAGATCTGCAACTATCCCCTAGGTAGGAAAACACTGGAGACCAAAAAGAATGACATCAGTAAGGTCACCAGTATCATATTTCCCTGATCCCTGCTACCGCATTTGCCCAATGGAGGGTCCTTCCGGGCCTCCTTCCACAAATAGACCAAAAACAATACTACTTACTTAGGTGACTAAATTAGAAGCAACCCACACTGACACAATTATCCCACAGAAACATGAGCATTAATTATTCTGTCAGGAGGCTGAAAAGACTTGGCATTGCCCATAGCTCCACATTTAGAATTTCCATATCATTCCAAGTATGATCAAAAGTAGATTTTACTCTTACTGGTGGCTGTTCTCTCCCAGGAGCCTAAGCGACAGCATTAGTCTGTTTATCTTTCTCCTCTTACAATTCTGCTAGTCTGGGTGGGTGTCTATTTCTGGTAATGCTCAAAGAAAATACACCCTGCCAAGTCTCACAGCACACTCAACTGCAACCTTTCACAGAATTTTTTTCCAGTACTATGGTTTGAACCCAGGGCCTGCTTAGCTATATCTCCATCCCTTTTATTTTGAGACAGAGACTCACTAAGTTGAAGTTGAACAGGTTAGTCTCAAAATCGAAATCATCCTGCCTCAGCTTTCTGCGTAGGTGGGATCATAGGCAT